GGCAGCATGCTCTCGCTCGGCGTCTCGCAGATGGTGCTCGGCTGCCTCATCGTGGCCGTCAGCTTCGCCGCCCTGGCGCTCACCACCTCGGCCCGCGTCCGCCACTCCTGCCCCTTCTGGGCCGGCTTCTCGGTGAGCAAGCGAGGGAGAGAGGGAGGGAGGAGGAGGAGGGTGCCCGGCGGGCCCTTGGCAGCAGGGGGAGGCTGGGCGGCAGGAGCGGAGCGCAGCGCCTCGGGCGAAGGGCAGTGCGCAAGTGCCCATCCTCCCGAAGGGCAGGGACGGAGTGCGCACCCCCGTGCGGCGCGGCAGGAGTCGCTTGCGTCTGTCCCCTGGCTGGCTCCTCTGAGGAGGCAGCCCCCAGCCTTCAGGGTGCCCTTATGGCAGCTCCCTGAGGTGGAGGCGACCCTCAGTGCCAGGGCTGGCGCAAGACTGCACTGCCCTCGGCTGCTGTGTGTCTCGGTGTTCAGACCTGCGGGAAGGGCCGGGAGGGCGGGGGAGTCTGAGAAGAACTTCTTGTCAAGGGGGGAAGCAGGCTCTTGCCAAAGCTTTGCTGCTGTATTTTGGAACAAGAGGACTCAGGGTTTTGTTTTTAAACAGCAGGTTTCCTGTCTCGAAGTGCAGCAGTAATGGCATTTCTCCCTTTCCTCCTTCATCCTCTCAATCCCCCCCACCCTTTCTCTTGGGTTGCATGGATTCAGGTTAGAGATGATGTGCTGTGGGGCCATCCAAAGGTCTGGTTTCATATTGAGATAAAAAGGGAAGCTTCAAGTTCTGTTTAAACACCTTGTGCAAGAAACTGATTGATCAGTTCACTGAAACCCCTGACTAAACATTTAGTGTTGGTTGGATACTGCACAGGTTCCCTGTTATTCCTTCTGTCAAAACATTCAGTTTGTATACCACTCCTCTGGGATCATTTGACTTCTAACCTAAAGAACTCTGGTCTTCAGAGCTCACTGGATCCATATTTATTTGCTGCTGTTTCTCGAGGTCTTGGCACAGGTTTATGCTTGAATGCAAACATAACTACCAGACAGGTTGTGCTGGAGGTAATAAAATGAGATTAGAACAGCAGGAACAGATTTTAATGTACGCACTCAAGACACAAACCCTCACAGTTGCAGAAAACATCTACGCTGCTCCACTGAGGAATGTGAACTACTTTTGCCCTTGCGTTGCTGTTGCTTTGCTGAGTGTGTCTGTTTCAGGGAAGTTCACTAAAACATAATGCTAACAAAAGAGAAGCCTACAGATCTCTGAAGTAGATAAGATCTAAGAAAGTGGTTCATTCATCCTAAATGTTTAGTTCATAATATTTTATGCAAGCAGGTGTCTACATGTGATTTCTGCTGACTATGTTTCTTTTTCCTTATGTTGTACCATACTAGGATTTAAAAAAAATAGTTGATTCTTTTTTGGGGTGGGGTCTGGGTTGATGGCCTCTGTCTGCACTGATTATTTGCATTTCTAATATTAAAACATGTCTGTGTAAGTTCTTTTTAATAAAGAGCAAAGTAGGAATAGTGAATCAGTGAAGGGCACTAAGATCACTAAGCAGCCCCTGTAAACTACTGGCAAGAACCTTTATTTAATTTTAAAAGATTATGCATTTCAAGAGTGTTGTCCTATTCCCTCGTCTCCCCTCAACAAATACTTTTCAGTCTACCAGAGTGTCTCTAACCTTATTTGTCCAAAAAACAAAGTGGTATTCAGTTGACTTGAGGTCCAGCCATTCTAAATATCTAACAGGAGGGGCACATTTTCAAAAATCATTGCTGATCATGTTTACACACAACACAAATGATTTAGCTAATGTGGTTTGTTTTTGTGTTTGGAATCAGTCTAGAGTAGATCCTTGGCAAGGCAGGAAAAGCTCTGCATTCTACAGCACTTTAAAGACTTTTCTGAATTTTTTTTAGCATTGTTTAGTATTTAAGCCTGTAGTTTAAAAAAAAAATCATCATTTTGTAATGTCACTATGGTTCCGTAATGAGCACATGGCTGAATTCACAATTGAATCTAAAACTATAATATTGCAAGCAGTGGAAGTGTGACCATTCATAATGATGAGATATCAATTTCAAATCTGAAATCTGACTACTTACATACTAATATGCTGTTAAGATAAGACAGCTGTAGCAGGTTTGGGTACTTAGTCTGGCAAACTAAGGAGAAACAGGCTGGTTGGTTGTGCATTCAAGCAAATAACACTTTCCAAATAATGTAATTTGTAATTAAAGTCTTGTCTTTTGTATAGCACTAAGGTACCATTTCAATTAATACAAAGTTTAGACAGCTGCATCAGCAGCAAAAGGGGGGGGGGGCAGCAACTTTCAGCAGAAGCCAGTGGCAGCTTCGGTGGTGGCCAGTCTCAGGGGGGGCACATGCCACCCTGTGCTCCCACTGTGTGTCGCCTATGTCTCATGTGGTTAATAGTATACTAACCTCTCCAGGGAAGCCTCTTCACTAACCTTAATAGGGTACAGACGCTTGCGTGTACAGATGACTGTAAGAGCAACACTATTGGGAGTCTTGTACTCCTGGTGGGGTCACCCATGGTGGTAAGGTCAAAGGTGAGGTATCAGATGAAGAGCAGTCCAACATAACATAAAGACCTCAATGGTGGAGCAGGCGGATGAAGAAGGCATGCTTCTCAATGGCTGTGAAGGCGGATGAAGATTGCAGTGAAAGAGTAACTCCACTTGTCTTGGATCTTCTTGCCACTGGACACAGGTTTCTCTTCCACCAAAATCCAGGTGGTTGCTGTTGTGCAACGGGCTCCTCACATAAAATGAGTCACGCAGGCTTCCCTTACTTGATCCAACGACGAATACCTGTAACCTCTTCTTTTCCAACCTTTTACTTGACCTGTGGTAGTGATCATCCTCCACTGTGAGGGATCGCTGATGCTGAGTATACTCGAGGCGAGAATTCTTAAGAGTGATATCTTTTCTTGGACCAACTGTATGGCTGGTATAGACATAGGAAAGCTTTTGGGCATCACAGTACCCTTCCTCAGGCCTTAATAGTAGTCTAGTATTATGACATTACTATAGGTTTTAAGGGAGAGTGCCAGGTCAGTTATCTGTTGTTAGATGTGTGTTTTGAAACTTTACTAATTACTGGCTTGGAGTATTGCTGCTGCTTGGAAATCCATTAATATTGGAGAGTTTATGTTTATTATATATTTGGCAAATTTATGGCTGAAAGTTAAAAAGTTATTGGATAATCGAGCAGTTTTCTAATCTGGTTAATTTTAAAGAACTCTGGGCCTGTAAATTAGTCACAGTAGCAACCTTATCTAAAACACTTCATAGTATTTATAGCATCTTTAACCAATTGGATGCAGCATCACAATTGGAAAACCTTTTTGCCAAAGAGGCTATTTGCTTATTTGCTTGCCTCTTGAGTATATGCTTAGAGAAGCAACTAAGTGAAGATGTGTGTGAGAGAGAGAAATAACTCAACTATCATTTCAACCTTCATTTATAACCAGAATCAGTTACAAATATTCACTGCCAGTAGACAGTTTTTTTCTACAAGAAGTAAGGTAATTACTTCTGTAGCCTTTAGCAATCTTTACCTCATGATCAAACACTTTTTAGAGTTTTTCTTGGACTGCTTTTGAATTGGTGTGAGTGTTAATGGAACTGATCAACAAGGGATATGACTTATACCTGGGCAAATATTTCTCGGATCCATTACATGTGGGCATCCCCAAGCAAACCTGTGATTAAAATATATATATATAATATATATTGCTTCTTCACTTAAAGTTACAGTTACTTACCTGAAAATAAAATGCATGTTATTTCTGAGAAACATCTTGCTGGTCATGGAGGGATACTTTGTTGGAATTATCCAGGGAATAGTTGTTTCCTCAGGGGATGAGTAGTTTAGGAATACATATTAATAATATACATTTGAAATAATTGTTCTGTAAGATTTGGTCCAGAAATGTTGCAGTGGGGCTGTGGTGGTAGTGTTATTGCCATTCTCCTGTTGCCAAGTTTTGGGACCTGTGGGGAACCCAGTGGGCAGGATAACATGACTTGGCATGCATGGTTGGGCTGACATACAGGGTTCTGGACTGACTCCTTGTCACTTGTCCAACCCATGGGGCCAGAAGTTTGATTAACGAGCCAAAACAAAGTGAAGAGAGCAAGACTTACTAAGTATCTTATAGATGGGTTAGAAAATTGCCTCTTGGAACACTTCACTGGAGCCTGATAGATCAGTTGCTGTAATAGAGGAACACGGGGCTGGACAAGGCCTACCAGTCCCCCGTGTTTGCAGACTGAAAGGGCCCAGTCTGCAAGAACATCCACTTCATTCTCTCTCACAACACCACTGCCCCAAAGCACCATCATAATATAGCCAGGAATTTGTGCCATGGATAAGGAATAGGGAGGTAAAAGTCTTACTGATGCTTGGGCTGCTGCAGTGGTGCAACAGCAGGGAATGTATTGGAATCAACTGAGCATATTTTATTCTAGGAAGAGGGCAACACCCTCTGTTCTGGATGAACATAAAAACTAATGCTCCTTGCTAGCCTGGCCTTGGAGAAATGATACTTCCTGTCTCCAAATCTGGCGATTACCTTAGTTTGACCTTGAGCATGTAAGCAAGACCTACCAGCTAGCTACCTGTGAACATACTGAGTTAGACTAATGGTCCATGTAGCTCAGTAGCCTGTCTCCAGCAGTGACAGAAGTGGATGCAAAGGGAGAGCATTGACTCAGATATCTCTAGAGTGATCTATCCCTTATTCAGGACCCTTCCTGGCATCCACTGTTTGTTGGTTTAGAGATGCCGGAGGAAATGTCTCCAACCATTCTGTTCAACAGCCATTAATACATTCATCGTTAAGGACCACTGTAATTTATGCCAAAAGTGCACTGCACGGGCACAACTCTAATCTTGCAGTTTCCCCCATGTGTTCTCCCACCACTCATTGGTGGAGGGGCCCTGCCACTCGCTCCTGATCAGCAATGAGGCAAAAATTGTAGTTTTAAATATACCATGGTTTTTGTTTCTCACTATTGGTTGGCAGAGGGGCCCTGGGGGCCCCACTTCTTGCTGCTGACTGAATGGGAGGCAGAAACCGTGGCATATTTTAACACTGTGGTTTT